AAAACTTTTTCCATTAGTTGAAGAAAAAGAGGAACTGATTCTCTTGTCTCTCAGTATTTAAAACCAAAAAAATAATTATTCATTTCTCAGAAATGAAACATCCCATTAGATCCACAAATTCAAGTTTAAGTATAAATTTATATTATTATGAGGCAACATGAATAGTGCAAAGGTAACTTTTATCAATGAATTCAACACATTCTCACCCCAAGGCGTCACCTTTGACCATGCTTCAATATTTGACGTTTTAGGCGCCCTTTAGCGTCACTTACATGACGCGATCCTACGGCGTCATCTAACTGACGCTAAAAGGAAGCGTCAGTTAGAGGACGCGGTTAGGTTTAGGATTGGGGTGGGGGTAGGGTACACGCGATCCTAGGGCGTCATCTAACTGACGCTAAAGGGCGCCTAAAGCGTCACATATTAAAGCATGGTCAAATGCTTCCCAAGGCGTCAGTTAGGTGACGCCTTGGGAGTGAGAATGGGCTGATGAATTGGACGAATTAAAAAATATGACGGGTTAAAGCATCATAGAATTCAAACAGTATTTACATAACCACTGATTCAAAGAATGATCCATTTAATCTAAGAAGAAAATGTGTTTTCAGTAATGAGTCTTTAGGACTTTAGGATTCATTTGAGTCTTACTTCTGGTAAAACAGCACCAAATAATAAAAGTGCACTTCCTGTTTCAGAGAGTGAAAGAGGATGCTGATGGAGAAGTGAGAACATCTTTTTCCCTGTGCTAAAGCAACTCTTACTTAGTTACAATTAACTGACAAATAAACCCAATTCTAAAGTGGAAAAACCCAACAATTACTCATTTTCTGTTATACTCTAATAACCTAAATGATGCATTATGTTCACATAGACATATGGGTAACACTTTACTTGAAGGGGTGTGCATAAGACTGGCATGACACGCTCATAACCATGACATGATATATGTCATGAATACGAAATAGGGTTTATGCATGTTTATGACAACTGTCAATAAGTGTCATTCGCTCAATAATGAAATTTTGAATGCAAATAGTAGTATTACAATAAACGTATTAATGTCAAGTTGTCATGACAGAGACTGGTCAGGTCATGATTTATTGGTTTATGTCAAGTTGTCATAAACAAGACATCTCAAACAATGTCATATTTGCATTAAAAATGTCATAATTGAGCGAATGACACTTAATGACAGTTGTCATAAACACACATAAAACTTCCTTCATATTCATAACATGTCATGTCATGATTATGAAGGTGCCATGTTAGTCTTATGCACACCCCCTTTAAGTAAAGTGTTAACGACATGATTGTTCAAAAGTTTGGTGTTATAAAAGTGTTTTTAAGAAACAAAATGCTGCATTTATTCATATCATAACAGTAAAACAGAAATATTATTACAATCACAAATAACTGTGCTCTGTTAATATATTTTAAAATGTTATTTATTCCTGTGATAGCATTGCTGAATTTTTAGACTTCAGTGTCATGTTGTTACACTTTCAATCAAATGAATGCATCCTTGCTGAATAAAAATAGTCTTTTTTCTTATTTTTTTATCGGACTGACCATAAACTCCAGAAGATAGTATGTCTGTTTGTCAGTAATGCAGAGCTTGTGTGTGTCTCTGCAGATAGCTGAAGGTATGGCCTACATTGAGAAGAAGAATTATATCCACCGTGACCTGAGAGCAGCCAATGTGCTGGTTTCAGAAAGCCTTTTGTGCAAAATAGCTGATTTTGGCCTGGCCAGAGTAATCGAGGACGACCAATACACAGCCAGAGAAGGTGAGCGTGACACCTCTCAGAGGTTTAACAACATACTGGATGGACTGGTCATTTTCTACAGCATTACTATGTCAGACGCCGCTCCAGGCTGTGCTTGTTAAGGCTGTTAGGCATGCTGATATTGTGATGGTTTTCCTGCGCCAGTGATGGAATCAGAGCTGAGGATGTGTTCTGTCTTTCTTTAATTCAGGAGCAAAATTTCCTATCAAATGGACGGCGCCTGAGGCCATCAACTACGGATCTTTTACCATCAAATCGGATATGTGGTCCTTTGGGGTTCTCCTGTATGAAATTATAACATATGGGAAAATTCCTTATCCAGGTAATATAATTTTGTTAATGGCACCGTGATTACATCTGAGCATAATTCCAGGAGAGTGCAGCAGTGGAGTAATGGTGACCAAACTAAATCTTTTGTTAGGAGTTTGTCGCCATCTACTTGTCATATTGTGCTAGACACGTTTAAGCATTGCAGTTTTGGTCAATTTGATTCATCTGAAAGGTGGATGCTAATGTTGCCAAATGTAACTGCAAAAATAATGACTGCTTTCCTGAACATTCATTGGTTAAATAAACTCGCATCATTGGTTGAGTCATGTTCCTATGTTGGACTGGTCAGGTCACGTATTAAACTTAACATTGTTTCGCTAAATTAAGGTAAGACACTACAGGCAAAACTGTTGTTGCTCATCCACTGGTCAATTTTAGGATTTTGAGCCATTTTGCTTCCATAATGCCTTCCTTCAGACTAGTGGAAAGAACACCTCAAAAAATACACATTTAAGTGTTTATTTATGATATTTGATCTATGTCCATCAATACATATCTTTAAAGGCACTTTTCTTAAAATGAGTGTTTTCTCATGCAATACATTTCCCTTTTAGCGAAATTTTGACATGCAGTATTTTCTCCCCTATGTAAAAATCTTCAACTCTAATCTGTCAACAAAAGGATACAATACCTTAACCTGGCTTCGTCCAACGCTCAAATTACTTTTCTGGAAATGTCATCAAATTAGTGAATATTTAATTAATATTTAATAATCCATCATGTGCATATTTAAACATAACAATTCATAAAACTTGTAATACAAAACAATTGTCCTCTACTGTGATTATTCAACTAGGGAAGTAAAGTGTAACTGCCAATTTTCAATCCTTTGTATTGTTACATAACATAACAACATAACCCATGAGACTTGGGAAGCACATGACATGACACATGTGGTCAAGGGAACCATCTAACAAAGGGGAGCACAAAGTTTACATCGGGAGCATCTAGGGCACACACAGCAAGCCATAACTCATAACACTAAAACTGGCTTGATGTGTGAGGCCCGGATATGCATGCTATTGCCAGGTTGTGTCATTGTCGTCGGTCATTCCATGCGATATGAATGTGGGCCACAACTGTGCCAGATGTCGTTTGCTATCTGGTAAGGGTCACATAATTAGAAAGAGCCGCAGGGCTAGAAAAACAACCAGCAGCAACAGTGGAGTGTACAAGTAATCCAATTCAGTGGGAAAACTGCAGACTTGGCAACCCTTCTAGTGGGAGTGGCCTTGGACAGCAACATGAGCAGTGCATTATGGGTGTTGAAGTTTTCTTTCCTATTTGGCAAAAGGGAAGACAACAGCCTTGTTTTTCTCTGTTTTCTCTTGTCAGGTACTGTAGCACAGATTTAAAAAAAAAAGATTCACCTTTCAACTGTATAGGCAGCTTATTGAAAGGTGAAACGCAATAAATGAGACTGTTTCAGTTTCTTCCTCTTCTTTATCTGTCCACTTACCCTCCCAATTTCTTCTTTTTTCTTTGCTTCAGGCATGAGTAACAGTGAAGTCATGAGCTCGGTCCAGAGAGGATACCGGATGCCCCGGTCTGAAAACTGTCCCCCTGAACTTTACGAGATCATGAACTCTTGCTGGAAGAGTAAACCAGATGACCGGCCCACGTTTGACTATATTCAGAGTGTACTAGATGACTTCTACACAGCCACTGAGGGCCAGTACCAACAGCAGCCATGAGGATTCAAAATCATCCATCGTATTTTTGTACTGTTTCAAGATGATCAAAAGATATGTGATTTATCTATGAATCAATGTACTAATATGTAACTAATGATTGTATTTGCTTACTTATATGTAAGCAAGGTTAATTTTCTATCTCTGCTTCAAATTGAAGTTTTAACTGCCTATTTGCAACTTTTGCTCTTCACATTCACATTTCCATGGCCACATTTCAATTCATAAATTATATTACATTCCAAAGTACCTTATCAAAGTTTTATTGTTATTTTTACACACAGTAACATGTCAGGTTTTTTTTTGTTCGTTTTTTTTTTTTTTTCAAACTAAGGGAAAAATCTGGGTCACTATGGGTTCTGCAAAAGAATTAAGAGAAAAAAATAAAAGATTTTTACAAATAAAAAAAAAAAAAAAATATATATATATATATATATATTTTAGGGGCTTCCAAGACAGTTAGCCGTGAAGCTGCATTGGAAGGATATTTATTGTGAAAGGAGCTATACCAATACAATTTTTTAAATTACAATTTTTTTGGCCTATACTGTAATGATATAAATGATCATAAAATTAATGTTGAAAAACATGTTTTTTATGTCTCACATGTATTTGAAATTGGTATAAATAATTTATGCCTAAAATTATACAGCTGCATTTATTACTATTTTGGGAGCATTCATATTTGGAGGTCCTTACAATAATGATCAAATGAAATCCATGTACTGTAAACCACTGTAAATGTAATATTTTTTTTTTTTTTTACAGTTTTTAATAACATTGAACATGTTACAATAATGAACAGTGGCATATTTTATCATACATTTATTTGTAATTAAACCTATGCCCTGCCTTTGATTAGCTAAGAATTAAATGCTTTGTACATTTAAAATAATCACATTTGTACACTATCTAGGAATCTAATAAAGTGATTATTTCGTGATTAATAATGCAGTTCTAAATTGTAAAGAATTCTGGATCATAAAATACAATGCTGCTGAAACCTAAGGATATTACCTTAAAAAAATGTTTGCTGTTACAGTTTTACCGTTTAATACTCTGATAGTCATCCTATTTAAAGGGGAAGTTCGTCAAAAAAAAAAAAAAAAAAATCTATCATGATTTACTCACCCTTATGTTGCCCCAAAGCTATTGTTGGTAACCAAACAGTTGATTGACATCCATAGGCCTATAGGAAAAAATACTATGGAAGTCAATGGCTACTGTCAATTGTGTAGTTACCAACTTTTCTTCCCAATTTTAGTTTAACAGAACAAAGAAACTCATATAGCTTTGAAATCGCATAGGGGTGAGTAAATCATGATTTTTGGGTAATATGTTCCTTTAAGTCGCACGCCCTCGAATGGTCACGTGAGGATTCCAAGATGGCCGCGCCCTTCAGTTTGGAGGCGTGACGTTATTCATATTGTTACAACACTGTCAAACGATAAAACAACTTGTGCAATTTCATTGAAGCTCTCCATTGAAGCTCTCCGTTGAAGCCGGTAATAATGGACAAGGACAGTCTGATACTGTAAGTTAATGATGAATGAATGCTGATTGTTTTTGTTGGATGATTACTTTAAATGTATCGTTATAGGGCCAGAGCTCACTGACGTGATATAACATTTAACTTAAGTTGAGGATGATTTACATGCGCCCTGTTACAAAAACTGAAGACGTTTTTTTACAGGGCTTCAAGACGTTGCTACTGTCAGAGAAGTTACATATTAAGCAGTTTCGTTTTGAAAACATATTTTCTTGATAATTTTTTACAGTTCAAACAAAGTGTCAAACGTGAAGTAAAAATAACCAATAAAAATGGCACTCCGAAATGTAGTTCTTTAAATAAATCACAATAGAGGGATAATAAAGTGAATAATGTTCAAACTGCATTTTATGTCAACTTGAATATGCTACAATGAATAAATGGGTAATATTATAAAAGTCATATTTAATTAATTACTTGAAGCATTCACACTCTACTGTCTACTTTATGTAATTACTTTACGAAGTTATTATTATCATCACACTGTTACTTTCTATTGATCAAAGATAGAAAAACATTAACCAGGAACTATGCAAAGGTATTTAATATCACTTTTGATCAATTTAATGTGCCCTTGCTAAATTAAAGTATTCATTTCTTTAAAAATATCTTACTAACCATTTTTAATGGTAGTATATTTATGCATGACTCTGGAATGTGGATGAACAGGGTGTGTTTTGTGACAAATGCTTATCAAGCTGTGATCATCTGTAAACCGTTAGGCCCCTAAACTCAGAAGCCCTTATCTACTCTGTTCACTTGCTGCTTAAAACATCTGTGAAACCTGATCATCATGACTTGAGGGAGGGGAATCAAATGATACATGAATTCAGATTTGAAGAAAAATAATGTAAATTAAATATTGATATATTTTGTCTTTGCTGTTTTCCATCCCAGCCCCAAAGGCTTTCCAGAGCTGAGAAATGACACATTCCTAAGAGCTGCACGAGGAGAGGAGATTGAGCACATTCCAGTGTGGTGTATGAGACAGGCTGGCCGTTATCTGCCAGGTATATATCTAATGGTATATGCTAATGAGCATCTCCAGTGCTACATGCTGTCATTTCTCACGAAGTTATTCTTTTCATCCTTTATTATCTGTTTTACAGAGTTCAGGGAATTTAGGGGAGGGAAAGATTTCTTTGAGACATGCTGTTCCCCTGAAGCTTGCTGTGAGCTTACATTGCAGGTTAACACCCCTGAGCCCCTTCTTACCTGCTTCCTCCTTATAATTGTAGCATATTGAGTTTTAACACTCTCAATAATCTGTTTTCAGCCACTCCGACGATTCCCATTTGATGCTGCTATCATCTTCTCTGACATTTTGGTGGTCCCTCAGGTCATTAACGCATAATTTGACCTCTATCTTACCGAATTAACATTGTACATCAGTGTGCGTGTCTTTTCATATGTGAAATGTGTATGAGCAGGCCATGGGAATGGAGGTTCAGATGAGTCCAGGAAAAGGCCCCACATTCCCAGAACCGCTGAAGGAGCCTGAAGATCTGCAGAGACTAAAGACTAAAGTGGACGTGTCGTCTGAACTCGACTACGTTTTTAAAGCCATCACGCTGACGCGACACAAAATAGAGGGAAAGGTTCCTCTCATTGGCTTCACGGGAGCTCCGGTGAGAAAAACAAGCAACGATCCTCGCATAACTGGAGATACTGCTTTAAAAGGAACACAATGGCCTCAATTGTCATCTGTTCTGTCTTTTATGAATGCCAGTGGACTCTAATGTCCTACATGATTGAAGGAGGAGGCTCTGTGACACACTCGAAGGCTAAACGCTGGCTCTACAGGTACCCAGAGGCCAGCCACAAACTACTGAGCCAGATAACAGATGTCATCGTGGAGTATCTTCTTGGGCAGGTGAAAGCTGGAGCTCAGGTGAGAGAAAGAGTGAGATGATATGAAGGAGGGGAACTATTTGAAATTCAGCACTATTATGTTTTTACAGACAGAATGTATTTTAAAAAGTTGTCATTAAATGTTTTTCCTTTAGGCGTTGCAGGTTTTCGAGTCTCATGCTGGTTGTTTGGGCCCAGTGGAGTTCAAAGAGTTTTCTCTACCATATCTGAGAGACATTGCTCTCCGTGTTAAGGACAAGATCAAAGAATCTGGTTTAGACAATGTGCCTATGGTGAGTAAAGTTAATCTTTTGAGCTTAAGCACTGTATTTAGTTTTTATACTTGCATTTCTTTTTATTAACTTTTATTTGAACTTTTGTTAACTTTATCAACTTCTTTCTTCGCTCTTGAAAATATTTTATAATAAACACATTATAATAACTTTTAATTAATAAGTAGCTGATGTCTTTCAAATATGGAACACAACCACATAATTCATTCCAAGAAGTTAGTACCATGAGAAGTGCTAATTGTTACATACCATGACATTTTTGTTTTTGAAAGAAGTTTTTTTAGGGTAGGTTCACACAGAATGTGTTTTTCCTATTAAAAACGTGAGACACAGTTCAGTGGAACAAAAAAAGGTCTAGACATGCAAGAACTCGGGTGCTGCGTTTTTAGAATTCTGCATCATGTGTGATATGCTGCAAAAGACCTCATGTGCACGACAAAGATTGAAAAAAGAACGTAAATACTTGTGGGTTTTGACTGGACCATTAGTAGCACAGTCAAATGCATTTTTTTTAAATTTCTCATTATTTTAAATGTAAACGTGTGCTAGACAGACTTCTTTTACCTCACGTGTTTTACAGCATCTCGCACATGACAGTTAAATAGGGCTGCATGATTAATCTCAATTTCCATGTAATCGCACTTTAAGTCGACTTGGCTACAACTCGCATAAAGTTGATAATTCCGCGAATGACTGCAATTGCAGATTTTGAACAGAGATGGCGACAAAGAGGAAAAAACTGCAGACTGCAGCTTTAATTTATCTTTGTAAAGAAGCGTCATTGCTTAACTGGCTACTCTCAGACGATGACATCTTTTCCTGTCGGCCACCGTAACTTCTCTTGGTTGCAGTTCGCAATCTCACCACTAGATGCCGTGAAAAATTGCACAGTGCACCTTTAAGTAAAAATTGTGAAATATATTTAACATTTTAAAATATATAAAATCACCTAATGTTTATATATTTAAAAATATATTTTCATATATTACTGTTTGAATGAGTATTAAAATGATGTGTTATGTAATGTTTGTTTTTTTTGTTTTTTACTTAAAGTTATTATTATGTAGTGCTAACATTTTCTTTTTGAGCATAAGTATGCAGAGACCAGCAATGTTCCACTATGCACAGCACACTAATCCACACTTGTAATAACATCATTTGCCACTAGTTGTCAGTATCAGGTCAGGTTTTGTTGCAGGTCACAAAGAGTCCCAAAGAGAGTCTTCTTTCATGATCTATTGGGCCCTCTGTAACTTCTGTCTTTCCTGTTTCATTTGTAGATTGTTTTTGCTAAAGATGGTCATTATGGACTTGAGGACCTGTCTGAGTCTGGTTATGAAGTTGTGAGTCTCGACTGGACCATAGATCCTCGTTCAGCACGGTCAGTCACAGAGATGTGATGTTTTCTGATTTCTGATTTTGCCAGGAGCAGTTAAGTAGTTCTCACTTCAAGATCCTATACTGTCATTTTGTTCCTTGATGGTTTTATTTCAAACCACTGAAACTCAAGTTTATATAGGTGTTGGCCTCTTGTGAGAGATTTGCTCCAGATTGATGGCAATTTATTTGGTGACAATGTTTTTTTTAATAATGGACCATTATAAGACATTTTTGTTTTTGTTTTTTAGAGAAGATTATCTTTCCCTATATGTATTCACACCATCCATCCATTGTTTTGATAAGACGAAATAAGAATAAGATAAAGAGCTCTTTACTCTTTATTGTTAAGATTTTCTTGTCTTGTTCTATATATTAGTTGTTTTAAGCTTCATATGTAGAGGTCAGTTGTAAGACAGTTGTGTCCTCATTACATTTTCATTCGTTTTTTATCTTCGTAAACAGAACACTTCAGTTTCTAGAATTGTAGAGATATAATCACAGCCAACCTGATGTCAATATAGGATATATAAAATTAAAGGCTTTGGTAGAGTCTAAGTACTCTCTTCTATTCTCTGTCATTGCTTTTTCAATATATTTTAAAATAATGGTATAGTCGCTTTCAAATGTAAGTATGGGAATCATGTAGATACTATCTTAAACAAATCGACTGTTTTCAACTGATAATAATATGAATATTTCTTGAGCACCAAACCAGCATATAAGAATGATTTCTGAAGGATCATATGACACTGAAGACTAGAGTAATGGCTACTAAAAATACATATTTGCCATCATAATAATGAATTCTTTCAAAACCCCAAAAAGTATTTTCGACCACAAACGTTCGAATGGTAGTGTATATAATGTTGTTTGTGTCTCAGTGTCAGGACTGGAGGAAAAGTGAGTTTGCAAGGCAACATGGATCCCTGCGCTCTATATTCCACAAAGGTGAGGACAGGAACGTCGAAACATCACAAAACAAACCAATTCTCTGCATCACTTCAGTTTAGTCTAGGCTATATTGAAATGTTTTGTGCTTGAAATGGAATGCTTCTGTTCTGTTAGAGAGGCCATTTTGTTTTTACAAATTTAGGCCCTGCTAGAAATATGAGCCTCAAGAACAGCTGTTTTCCACACAGAGCCGTCTCTGCCTTTCATTGCTCATTCATTACAAGCATGGCTTTCATAGCATTGTCTTCATGCCTCCCAATTATAAAAAAAATTCCCACCATCATTTCAGAAGTTATAGGGGTGTGACTCCCCAGCCTATTTGAAAAACAATAGCTCAAAGATTTTGACAGAGGATACATTATTGTGTATAATATCCAACCTAAACACTTCTCTTTATGTGTGATCAGGAGCGCATATCGGAGATCGTGAGGAGGATGTTGGAGGGCTTTGGCACCAAGGGCTACATCGCTAATCTGGGTCATGGCTTGTACCCTGATATGGATCCAGAAAATGTGGGTGCGTTCGTGGAGGCCGTACACACACACTCTCGCCAGCTCCTCAACCGCAAATAAGACGTTACTCTCCTATCAGAACACCTGAAGCCAATGAGAAACAACAACTGTTGGAGTTAAGCGCTCGCTGTAGCATCATATGTGTTCTAGGATAAATATCACAAAACCTGTCCAAAAAAATCAATTTTTATGTCTGTATTGCAGTAAAATGAATCTTCAAGACAATGTAAAACTTCAAGCATTACAGTTAAGATAAAATGTGCCTAGTTGTCATGAAAATAATGTCACAATGAAAAATATTTTAATTTTACTGAAATGTAAGGTTCGTTTTCTTTATGCAAAATCTTAATACAATATTTTTAATGATTTTGTGGTGAAGTGTGACCCAGATATTTCTTGACAGGCTTTTGAGAGATTGGAATAAAAGGCTGGGCCCGACTCGTTTCAATTATTATGTAGGCCGTCTTTCTATTTTATCTACATTTTATAATAGCTCCACAGCAATCCATCTCATCTTTAATATAATTTTTTAGCTAGATTAATGTGCTTTCATCAAAGCCGACGCACTACACTGGAGAACGTGGAGTAGGTGGATGGAATCTGATTTAGTCTGAAGTGCTGTATAGGTTTGTTTTTAATGCAGTGCCATAGTAACATCTGGGCTGAGACTGTCTTCACTGGAATAGTGACTGACACTAATGAACCACTAAGAATGTGTGTACATTTCAATGGATGTTTTATAAGAAGCGAAATAAAGAGTAATCTTCCTTTTAAGACGAACATCCCCCTGGGGAATTTCTCCGAGTCGAATGTCACATAACTAAATCATATGATTTTCTATTCCCTTTGTTTTGCAGGAGTGTTTCGGTGAGGGGTTTACCTCCTTGATCTATGATTACTGTCTCTCTTACTGCCTTTCGCATTTAGTAATAGAAATGTTAATCCCAGAGGACGTAATACCAAATGACGAATATGAACAAATCCTTAAATCCAGTTGTTTTTGTTTTTTGGAAAGGCGGGAGTGGGATTCCCCAGCAACATATCACATGACGTGACGTGCACAAGAGGTTTTTGAAGAACCCTGAACTTCAAAACAAGGATTTATTGGAATTAAACATGTTTTCATTCCTGTTAGTGCTTTCTGAACCCCATTTGTGTGTATGAAAATGCATCATTTTGAAAACAGGATTTCAAATCCGTTATTTGTTGGCGTAGCATTCATTTCAGTCAAAATTGTTTACTGTCTGTTTTAAAAGCGACCACAGACTGTAAATTGAAACAACATGATGGATGTTGTCCCACACTCGCTTACAGTGGTTTAGTTTGAAATGGTGGCAGCTGCACCGCTGGTGTGCGTTGTTGTCAATGTAGGATAAGTCTGGCCTTGATTGTGTGTTAGGTGCTGTAAGCCCTGCTGAAAGAAGAAACGTCCTGTAATCAATTTGCTGATTAGTGTTGTTGGGTTTTTAAGCCCCTGCCGACTCGCCACTAGTTTGTTTCCATGGAGCACAGCTGTGATTGGGGGGCTGGGCCCGTTTACTAGCGAGGCACAAGAACATACACACGTGCCCACACTTATTCTGTGATACCTCAAGGGGCTCCTGGCATTATTTTTAATTGCAACAATGAATCTAATAAAAAAAAAAGCTGAATTCCCCAAGGCCTCCTTCAAGATGCCACAAGGGGGATGAAACAAAGTGGGGGTTTGGGCTCAATCTCTCAGCAAATCAGCCGGCCTGAAAATCCAATATGTTCCTGAAGACAGCAGGCTGTACATCATTTGTCAGGTCCTTGCTCTATCACTGCTTTATCAGATGAGATGGTTTTGGGGGGTTTGGCTCAAGATTGATTTGAAATTTTGGGGAAGAGAGATAGAGGTCTTCAAGTTGGTGTCAGTTCGGTGGAGTCACATCTTGTAAAACTGATTGGTTATTTTCACCATTCAGTTAGTTTTTATTTCTTTGTGTTAGATTTAGTGTTGCAGTGGGGCCGGGTTAGGCGATTGTCAGCCGAGTCGAAGTGCTCCCAAGCACTTGCTGTGGTATTCCGCCATACAATATAGTTATCCATTTTACACGCTTAGAAAAGCGCAACGTTTTATTTCGTGTCACCGTCCTAAGTTCAAGTTACACTGCTCGAGTAACTGTATTTAAATAGGGAAAATGTGAAGGTGTTTGGTTGCTTCTCTGCTTGGCCCATATTGAATGAACTGGGCTAGTTAAAGGTGCTGTATGTGATTTTTAGCGGCCTCTAGCGGTGATGTTTCAGAATGCAACAAGAGTGCTAGTGCTCGTGCTCGTGCTCGTGTGCGTGCTAGATCTCAAGAGCGAGCAGTCACTACCGGCCACACGAACACTTTCAACGCAACGGTGAAATAATCACACAACATGCTGGAAACTTAGTATGTAAACTCCCACTGCAGGTAGCCTACTTTTATCAGCTTGACGTTGAACTAATGCTCTGTGCTCGTACCATGATAATGTTACAATAAACTGCATTTAGTCGACATGTGATGTTATAAGCCATTTCACTAACTATTTTCGTGTATCTTTCACAATCAGCAATGTCAACACAGGTGAATGTATAATATGATAATGAAAACGGTTAGTGAACTAAACTGAACAGTTTCAGTGTATCAGTAAGATCGTAGGAAGTAACAATACTGTAGTACTGAACGTGTCTGTAAATGTGTATTATAAACAATATGATAGTAGTGGGATGAGTGACGTTAGTCAGTAGATCCAGTAAATAAAATAAGTTACATCCTAAAGCACCGACTTTTTGTTATCCTGGAACATTCTTTTGTATTCATGTCATGTTTCATGTAGTTTACCTTGCTATTTCACTAGAGTTTACTATCTTGATCGGCGTTTTCGTCCGGAGTCGATCAGATTCACGTTTTGCCTGACGAGCTTGGGCAGATAAAACTTTTTTTGTTTTTTATATTTATGTGGAGTTTGTGTTGGAGTCTGTGTTGTGCTGGAGGCAGGACATTTTGGGCTGTTATCAGACTCCATGTCGTCAGCTGAAATGCCGTTGGCCGCATGGTTGATTGTATAGAGACTGGATAGAGACATGGTTGACTGTAAGGATAGAGAGGCTTGGGAGCGCACATGCACGTCACATCTGATGGATTTCGCAGGAAATCTGACCCGGAGACCTCACTTATAAATATGAATATTGGCCTTCAGAGGTAATAGCAAAACTCGAAAAGTGGATCATTGCAATGTATGATTACAACCCCTTCAAACACGGGCAATAAAAAAAGGTTTCGTTTTATAAAAAAAGTTGCATATAGAACCTTTAAATGGTGAGTTACCCAAAAATGAAAATTAAGTCATTACTCACCCCCATGCTGTACTTCAGAACACAAATGAAGATATTTTTGATTAAATTTGAGAGGTGGATCACTGCTACATAGGCTCCTAAGGGATCGAAACTTGACGGCCCAGAAAGTCATCGAAGAAAATGTTTAAATATTGTGACTACAGTGGCTCAACTATAAGTTTATCAAGCGACGAGAATACTTTTTGTGCGGAAATAAAACAAAAATAACGACTTTATTCGACTATTCCATTACTTCCTTCTAGGCCTGAGACGAGTGTTCAAGAGATTTCCACGACGCCTGTGTGAGAATTGCGTTCTTGCGTCGTGGAAATCTCTTGAATTATCCCTTTAAGTGCGATCAAAGTGTCTCGCGCACCAGAGCGATTGAGTGCACGCACTGAGACGACAGAGGTATGTATAAACTCGTCTTAGTTAAGGGAATAACATAGTTTATTATGAAAAAATGGTGTATCCCTTTAATACTTTTGATTGTACCTCTACTCCGATATTGCAGGTTCATACTAGTACGCAAGCGTGAGCTCACCCACATGCTTTTCTGGTTGGTTGTGCTTTGTGATTGTTTTGTAGCTAGAACACATAATGTCCAGTACACACATTATCCACAATTGTAAACAGTTAATGCAATAGTAAGTAAAAGTTTTTACTTCTCTGAGCCATGCATCATAATGGCACTGTGTCCCCCCTTGAATCAGAGATACATTGCTTAAGTGAGAGAATGATTCGATGACTTGCTTAAAAAAAAGATGTTGTCACCGACCGGCGTATCGTATCCCGTAAAATTGTTACTGAAAAATCCCACCACTATATTACACAGACTGACAGTCTGTATGTAATGTGCAAACAGAAAGTGGAGTGATACAATCGGTGAAAAGTCGGACTATATAGCGTTCAGCTAATCAAATTCGAGGAGCGCACTATTGCATTTTGATCTTTTAATTCTGTTCATCTCAAAATGTTCTTCCATAATTCACTCCTGCTTTCCATACCCTCTTATCCCACACCACCTCCCACCTTAAAAAAAAGTCCCAAGCTGCCCCACCCCTCCTCACCCAGTCTTCCGACACCCCAATTACAGAGGGATTCTGGGAAAATCAGAGCAGCAGAACAAAGCTCTGCAAATCAGCTCCCTGAAGAACACAATATGTGATTACGCTGACAGCAGAACCTGCCATGCAGGGTGCAAAGGACAAAGCTTCCTCTCACTGCACAAACCTGCCCAGAAGCACAACAGCTCTCAGAGTTGCCTGACAGGCTTGTGTGCTCCATGACTGCGTTTAGACGTCCTCTTTCTGATGATGGTTTGGGTTCTAATTAAAGAAAAGCCTCTGTAACATTGGTACACGTATAAACAATGCTTGTTTTCCCCCCACCAATCCCAACACCTACTCCTCGCTCCAAATATGACAGCCTCAGTCTGCGCTGGAAGCTCAGAACAAGGTGGGAAAGCCAATTACTCGTCTCTTTTTCCTGGCGTGTCACTTCTGTTAAATCACTGAGCTAAGGAAATGCCTTCTCTTTGCAACGTGTCTAACAGAGCCAAACCCATCCATATTTCAGCCAGCAGCACAGCCATGCTTGACAAACACTTACTCAGTGGTCCTCACAGGAGCAGAGCGCTGCACTGGGTCCAACACACAATGAAGAGCAGCAGCTGTGAGGGACCCTGATGGATGGTGGAGTTTGTATAAGCAGGCCCAAAGAGCATTGTTCCTGTCCACTGCATCTCTAACACAGTCAATCACTCTGACACAAGTTTTTCCTGGAGTTTATTGTGGTTTTAGTCACAGAGTTTCTAAAGAGAGCTGGACATCATGTGTCGGGGCATCAATATTTTTCTTACAACTGCAGTAATTTTGTCTTGTGCGTTAAAGACCTCATGAGATACATGTACACTCTTAGAAGAAAAGGACCTATATAGAACCTTAAAAGGTTCTATCAGCGCTATGTATTTGGAACCCCTAAAAGGTTCTGTACAGAATTCAATAATAAGAACCCTTTAGGGTTCTTTGTAAGCATGTAAAAAGGTTCTATATGGAACCTTTTGGGTTCATTCATTATCATTTGTTTTGTCCTTTCCGGATTGAATATTTCATATTATTGACAAACATCAAGACCCTAAAATGTATTTAGGAATGCATGTGAATGATCACAAAATTCAAGATATGGGGGTTAGAAAATGTATATCATTTTATGTAGTTAATCAATCTCACACGAAGAGTGCAATTTCAGTTTTTCTCCTCCAAAAATCAGCATGATTAAAATCTGATATTAAGTTACTACAACAGTTTAATTGAGTTACAACTACAAAATGTGGCAGAATAATATAATATATGAATGAATAATAGCATATAAAGAACCTTTGTGCCAAAAGGATTCTTTCTGACAAAACAAAATAAACAAAAGCTTTTGTAAGCATTTAGTCGTTCTCTTCA